TAAATAAATAAATAAATAAATAAATAAATAAAAAACAGAGGGGGCAGCTGTCCTTCAGACGCAGGCTGGCTGGAGCCCCGTCCCTCCCTCACCTTTCTTGCCCACCGCCAGGCTGTGTTTGACTGCGTGGTGAATTCCCTCAAGAACGTCTTCAACATCCTCATCGTCTACATGCTCTTCATGTTCATCTTCGCCGTGGTGGCCGTGCAGCTCTTCAAGGGCAAGTTCTTCCACTGTACGGACGAGTCCAAGGAGTTTGAGAAGGACTGTCGGTGGGTCTTGTGCTAGGGCTGGCACAGGCTGGGTCAGGGCCAGACACACCAAGGACCAGGGCTTAGAGATGGGCGCTCACCGGGGCTGGGTGGGAACCAAGGGCAACCAACCCGGGTCTGGAGAAGAAAAGCTCCGGAACTTGGCTGCCCCGCCCCACCCCTCTCTCAGCAAGAAGCATAACCTTTCTGTCTCCTTTGCCTCATGGGGAGCCTTGATGTCCATCTGTTAAGGTGCCCCTTGAAGCTCGTCATGTGGGGGAGCTCTGAAGCCTGTCATGTGTGAGCTACTGATGCATGTTCACCAGCCATTCTTTGAAACCTTTCCAGGCAGAGGTATTCCAGAGTTTCTGGAGTTGGGCTGGGGGTGCAGCTCAGGAGTGTCCACTTGCCTGGCACATGTGAGGCCCTGGGTTGGGTCCCCAGCACCGCAAAACAAATATTTCATCATTTTTTGAGATTTTTTTTTTTTTTTCAGACCCGAGGATTGAACTCAGGCCCTTGCGCTTGCCAGGGAAGCACTTATTCCACTGAGCCATCTCCCCGGCCCAATTTTTTGAGATTTTTGAGAAGTGTGTAGAGTGTGTGCCCCGCCTACAGCATGAGCAGCCCAAGCATCCCTGAAATCAAATCAGGCAAAATATTTCTGTTGAGAAACACGCAGCTGTCTGCCCCAGAGATGGAATTGGGAAGGTGCCCCACGCGATCAGGGCTGGGTTTGTTGCCCAATGAATTACATCATCAGTACCAAATTCTTTCTGCTCAGGGCCAAGTGATAAATAATTTTGCCTTTGCAGACCGCATGGGGTCTGTTCTGGTCACCTAGTTTTGCTGCTAGATCTCAAAACTGGCCGTAGATATCAGATCAGTGAACAAGTATGGTTGCACACCAATAAAACCTCATTTTTGCAAAATTAGCACTCTTTTTGTAAAAAAGCTGCAGGCTGGTTCTTTTGCCAGGCAAGTTGTGAGCTCCTGGCCTCGTGGCACCTTCCTGCTTCGGCTCCCACAGAAGCCTGGCCACCACGCCTGCCTGGAAACTGAAATTTAAGGGATACGGAGACCCTGTCTCACACACACACACACAAAAATAACCTCTGAAATTTGAATTGTGTGAGATTTTTTACTTGTCATGAAAGGATATGCTTCTTGCTTTGAGCTGTTCTACACGTCAGCATCATTCTCAGCTCGCAGGCCCTGCAGAGCCGGTCCGTGGTCCAGCATTGGCCTGGGGGCTATCACTGCTCCTGGCTTGGAAGAGATTTGCCTTCCAGGCCTTCCTGGAGTTTAGACTTGTGCAGAAGGGCTGTGACCTCAGAGCACCCTCCCCACCACGAAGTCAGTGTCAATTAATTCTCAGGTATAGGGGCTATTGATTCCAGAATCTGCTTGGATACCAAATTCAAGGGATGCTCTGAGCCTTGAAAATGGCATAGTAGCCACACACGGTGGGTCACACCTGTAATCTCAGTGCCTGGGAGGCTGAGGCAGGAATATCTCCACGAGTTCAAGGTCAGCCTGGATTACATAATGAGACCCTATCTCAGTAACACTAGGGCTGGTGAGATGGCTCAGTGGTCTAAAGCAACTACTTAGAACAAGCTTAGCAAAGCACAGGGACCTCGGTTCAATCCCCCAGCACCACATGCCAGCCAGCCCCGCCCCCTGGTGGGCTGAGCTGGCCACACACACACACACACACACACACATAAATTAATTAATTTTAAAAAACACTAAATAAAACTAAAGTGATGTGGTATTGGCACAGAAACTACACTCAGCCTTGTGTAGATGCTAAACATTTCTCGATGACCAAAAATAACTTACACTGTGTGAATTACTGTCACACAGTATTCTTCAAAGAACACGACAAGGAAAAAAATCTGTACGTGTTCAGTATAGAGCTTTGCAACAGTTTCTGTTCCTGATTGGTGGAGTCCACAGAGGCAGTGGCCCAGGTGACAGGCCTGGCTGCATGGCTGCTCCACCTGTGTCAAGTGTCACCGTGTAGCCAGTGGTAGCTGCTGTACTTTGGTGGCTGCTCTTAGAAATCAGAAGGATCTTAGCCAGGCACAGTGAAGAACACCTCTAGTCGCAGGTCCTCAGGGGGCCGAGGCAGGAGGATCACAAGTTCAAGCCCAGCCTGGGCAACTGAGCAATTTGGTAACACCCTGTCATGCAAAAAAAGGACTGGGGATGTAGTTTAGCCCCAAAGCCCCCTTCCTGTTGGTTACTGGTGCCCTGTCTTGGCAGCGGGAAGTACCTCCTGTATGAGAAGAACGAGGTGAAGGCGCGGGACCGGGAGTGGAAGAAGTACGAGTTCCACTATGACAACGTGCTCTGGGCCCTGCTGACGCTGTTCACAGTGTCCACAGGAGAGGGATGGCCGCAGTGAGTACACACGGAGAGGCTGAGGCAGGAGGAGCTCAGGACCAGGGGCTGGGAGAAGAGGGGCAGCTGTCGCTTCATGAGACGGGGAGCCTCTGAGAGCTGTGGGGCTGTGGGCCAGCGTGGGTTGGGGAGGGTGAGCTGCACAAGCCCAGGAACAGACCTGGTCCTTATTGACCATCTTGAGCCAGGCATGGGGGCCCAAGCCTGTCATCCCAGTGACTCTGGAGACTGAGGCAGAAGGATGGCAAGTTTGAGGTCAGTCAGGAGCACTTCATGAGACCCTTGTCCTAAAAATTGAAGAGGCTAGGGTGTGGCTCAGTGGTGGAACATCCCTGGGTTCGGTCCCCAAGACAACCAGGAAAAAAAAATTATATTTAGTTCAAGGATTCTCTTTTTTTAAGACAAGGTCCTTACTACATAGTTAAGGCTGGCCTTGAGTTCACTTTGCAGCCCAGGATGGTCTCAAACTCTCAACAGTCCTCCAGCCTCAGCCTCCTGAGTGCTGGGATTACAGGTGTGTGCTATCATGACTGGCCTATATTGAAGATTTTTGGGCACTCTTTTTTTAAATTTAGTCCAGGGTCTACAGGGTCTCCCTATGTAGATTGGATTCATAATGATTATCCTGTTTTCAGCCTCCCAAGCACTGGGATTACAGGCACACACCATCACGCCCAATCTCAATTGCTGACTCAGCGTGTGCTGGGGGTGGGGCCTGCACGGCATGCTTGGGATTGAACCCCGGCCTCTGCGCTCTGCCTAAGCAGGCATTTTAGCCTGCTGAGATATCTGGCCAGCCCTCATTTTGATTTTTTTAAAAACACCACAGTAGGAATTTATTTATTTATTTATTTATTTTTACATCTTGATTGCTTGTGTTTCTGGAGCCCTTGTATTCAGACCCAGGGCAGCTGCTCCCCTCTCCTCATCCTGCCCTGGGTTTCCTCCTGGAGTCTTGGGGATGCCTGGTCAGAGGCTGGGAGAGAGCAGCACAGTCCTCTCCCCATGAAACCCATAACCCAAACGCATATATCTGCACCCCATGCTACCTACAGGGCCCACTCATGTGCGTGTACCACACGAGGCACCTTTGAATAAACTGTATTTAAGATGCCCATCCAGCAGGCTTCATTTCCACTTGCCAGAAAGTTCTACTATAACTGGAATTTTTTTTCCTGTCTTTTTTTTATTTTGCGGAGCCAGCGATCGAAATCAGGCCCTTGAGCTTGCCAGGAAAGCGCTTATTCCACTGAGCCATTGCCCCAAACAGAAAATCCTACTATACACCTACGTGATTTTGTTCAAATGATGCTCTTGGTGGCATGCGGCAAAAAAATCCTCATCACAAATAGATCTGTCATGGCTACCATATGAAGGCATCGATTAAACACACACCTCGTGCTTGGGCAGTGCACAGCTGTACAGAGCCACTGTGTACAAGCACTCGCTCGCACACAGCCCTGCCACACCTCCTTGGCGCAGCTGACAAACTCCTGCTGTTACCCTTCCTCAGTCCCACTCATCACCAGAAACCTGGCTTCAAATCCCAAAGGCGCCACTTCTAAAAGAGTGATTTTTCAGCAGCTCCCTTTAAATTGCAGAGCTTTGGTGTCCCTGTGCATAAAACGGAGCTGATCTTCACCTCCTTAAGAGGCTTCCTGGGAGACCAAATGTTGAACATTATTTTTGGCACAGTGTTACAACACGTAGCCATGGACATACCTGTTACCAACCAGCTCTTGTCTCTCTTCTGTCCCCTGTCCGTGTTCCCCTCCATGCTGCCACCCTGCAGGGTCCTCAAGCACTCCGTGGACGCCACCTTTGAGAACCAGGGCCCCAGCCCCGGCTACCGCATGGAAATGTCCATCTTCTACGTTGTCTACTTTGTGGTCTTCCCCTTTTTCTTTGTTAACATCTTCGTGGCCTTGATCATCATCACCTTCCAGGAGCAGGGGGACAAGATGATGGAGGAGTACAGCCTGGAGAAGAATGAGGTGCCGTTCCACTGTAGGGATCCTCCCTAAGTCTCTAAAGGAAAACCCATCAGTCACATGGCACGTGTATCTGTCAGCTCAGATCAGGGTATTCCTTAGTAACAAGCATCCCCATAGAGGCAAAGGGGGCGGTTCTCTCTTATGCAGCAGACTGGCTCTATTCTGTGACAGCTTTATTCTGTCCCAAAGCTGTCACAGCCACATTCTTCTGAGATCATTCAGAGCCAAAAAGTGTGGCAGATTATGGCCTTGCTCCTGACATGTTCCCCTGCACTCACCCTGTCGATAGCATCCAGGTCTCATGTCTAGGGGCAAAGCAAGTGCAGTCACCCCACGCGCAGGGAAGGATCTAGATAGAGCTCAGTCTGTCTGTCTGTCCATCTCCCTAAACGAAAAAGAGCAAGAGAAGCAAGATATTCAACAAGAAAGTATGGCCAGGCTCTGGAGTTGGCTTATATTTGAGTCCAGACCCCGCCCTCTGGGCTGCCGCACCTCCCCTGACCAGGGGCTCCACGACCCCTCTGAGCCTGTCTTCCTCACCTTCCTTGCGCTGGCTGGCAGGAGGCGTGTTTGGGGGAAGGGAGTAGATCTGCAGCAGGCCAGGCCTGCGGGGGGCTACCGTCTGCGTCCAGGCGGCTGCACCCGGGAGCCGTGTAGAACTGAGCAGAGGGGGCTGCACATGGGGCCCCTTACACCGCCATCTCTGGTCCCCAGAGAGCCTGCATCGACTTTGCCATCAGTGCCAAGCCACTGACCCGGCACATGCCGCAGAACAAGCAGAGCTTCCAGTACCGCATGTGGCAGTTCGTGGTGTCCCCGCCGTTCGAGTACACCATCATGGCCATGATCGCCCTCAACACCATCGTGCTGATGATGAAGGTGAGCCACGGCCACCCCCGTCCCAAGCACGGACCCACCCACTCACCTCCAGCCCTGCACCTGCCGATCCTCCACCATCTGCACTGCTCCCACTCCACTGCCTGGCCAGGGCCTGGGCACAGCTGCCCCCCAGGATGCCTCCCCCGAGAAATCTTCCCAACCGCCCTGAACTGCCGGCCCCTGTCGGGCCTGCTTCCATGTGACGCAAGCCATTCCACTACTGTTGAGTGCTCAGTAGACATCTCCACCAGCTTTCTGGGGCCCTGGGAGCTCCAGACCTGAATCCACAGACCTCAGCGAGGTTCTAACTCAGAGCAGGAAGACAGCCCCCAGGAATGCGTGTGGCATGCCTGTCAGCCCAGCAACGCAGGAGGCTGAGGCAGGAGATCGCAAGTTGGAATCCAGCCTGGGTGACAGCAAGATCCTGTCTCAAAATAAAAAATAGAAAAGGAGATGCAGTCCAGGGCAAAGCCCCTGGGTTCAATCCCCAGTGCTAAAAAGACAAAGATAGAGGAAAGGAATAAAGGAAAGAAAGCAGGAAGGAAGAAGAAAACAAAGAGAAAGCACTGAATGAAATGAGGGAGGAGTGGGGCTGGTGAGATGGCTCAGTGGTCTAAAGCACCTACTTAGAACAAGCTTAGCAAAGCACAGGGACCACAGTTCAATCCCCAGCCCCACATGCCAGCCAGCCCCACCCCCTGGTGGGCTGAGCTGGCCACACACACACACACACACACACACACACACACAAATAAACTTTAAAAAAAATTTAAAAAATTTAAAAAAAAAAAGAGGGAGGAGGAATGGACAAAGTGCCTCAGGGCCTCTGCTTGGCCAAAACTCAAACTCTTTTTTTTTCCCCATAATTTTATTGAGAAACAAATAGCAATGAGACAGTTTCAAATCAAATTGATAGGACAGTTCCAATAATAAACACATTGAGTACTCTCTTCCTAGTGGTTAATTGCTGTACAAGATGCAGACATGATATCCTACTTAGAAACACTATTTAAACAAATCCCTCTATTCATTAAGGGAATGTAACTATATATCTATCCTAACCATTTTGAATACAAAGATACAAAAGGGACATTCATCTGTATCCTCTTTTTTGTTTAGTTCTGTCATTTGAATACTGTAGGCATGTTAACTCAGCAAAATATTCTAAAAGAGTCCAATAGTCCATAATAGTATTGGGTCTTCCACTTCACTGGCAATGTCAGAAATTGTAGACCTGAGTCCCCTATAGCTCAACATAACAGCATGGCTTTACTTCTTATACTTCATTTTTATACTTTTCTGCTGGATGGTTAAGACCAAGGTAAGGCAGGACCTACGCAACAAGAGTTGTAGCTTTTGGATCTGATAAGGTCAGTCAAATCCCCTCAGGATTTATCCTGAGATCCTGTACCTCAGATTGTAGAACCTTTGTCAGTGTTGGGCATGTGGATGAATCACGGCCATTGCTTGGCCAATGTGTTCTCTGTGAAAGCCTGAGAGAATGTTTGCTCTCCATGTGACTCTTCTTAAGCAAACTCTACATCATCGATCACTTTCCTCTTTGGCCCCATAATCCCCTTGATCAGAAAATTTGGGACACTACCGAGTTACATGACATTACAGTGTAAGTTCTCATATGTCCTGAGTCTTAAATGACCTTGGAAGACTAGGGCCAAAATGTTGGCTTTCCTTGCGACCCTCCTTTTCCTCTAATTTTGGTCTGCAAACTTAGGTTGTTAACCCAAAGAGAAGCTTATTGTTATTACCATACAATCTAGGCTGTTAAGCTTAACCTCACTATCTGTCTGAATATCAAACATCTTAGGCATAACATAGAACAGGTATTTTTCATCAAGTATTGATATGTTGAACTTTAAGTCCCTACAGAATATGATGAAAAAACATTTTAAAAATTAAAATATATTTTTAAAATAGTCGTAAAGAATTATATAATTCTTATGTTTACACATAAGTCCAGAAATCTAACCATATACAGCCTTGTAGCAGGACAATCTCGCAACTGTCTCCTGCCTTCATTCACCGCCTCCTTCTTTTTGAACAATCATCTACCCGAGAGACAGCACGGCAGCAACTGGCATGTCATAACAAGCAGCCCATATTCAGAAGACCAGAATAACAGGCACTGCAAGCGTGAACCTACTATTACAAATTGCCATCTTCAGTGCAGTTGCTTAGTTCACAGGTGTCTATATATATAGTTAGTCAGAGTGAGAATCATTCCAATTAACTGCTAGATTCAAAAATCTTCTGAAGGCTGGGGAGATGGCTCAGTGGAATAAGCGCTTCCCTGGCAAGCACAAGGGCCTGAGTTCAATCCCTGGTTCTGAAAAATAAAAACAAATCTTCTGAAGATTCTCAGGATCATTGCCTTACCCATCTTCTACATATAACTGTGAGGACTAAATAAGAGAGGGAAAAGAGAAGAGCTAGGAAACATGACAGTGGCAAACTTAAACTCTTTTATCCTAGCAGCTTTCAGATTAGCTCAGTTGTTTAAAACGCCTGCCTGGGCAAAGTCAGTCAGACACAAGGGACGGCAGTTTGATCCCCAGCTCCACAAGCCACACCAGACCAGCTCTTAAGGCAGCCTGAGCTAGCAAAAAAAAAATTCCAAAATCTTTTGCTCTGAGTCCTAGGGTTCAAGTTCAACTCCACCATGTAACTCTTTATACCATCTCCCACAAGTGCCCTGTAACATCCCAGGGCTTTGATTTCTCTGTCAGTTAAATGGGAGGATTGGATGAGAAAGCCCAGGCAATCTTAAAACTTTCTCAGCACTTAATACATGTAACCACTCATTCTTCTTTATTTTTAATTGTTTTTTAGTACTGGGATTGAACCAAGAGTCTTCCACTAAAGCTACATCCCAAGGTTACTTGCTCTTTTTTTTTTTTTTTTTTTTTTGAGACAGGGTCTCCCTGAGTCACTAACCTGCTCAAGTGGGGCTCCAATGTTGTCGTCCTGCCTCAGCTTCCCAGAATGCATGGATTGCAGGCCTGTGCCAGGGTGCCCTGCCTGGCTGTTAATTGTTGAACATTGAGATGGTTGGCCTGATTTGATACCAAGAAAGTTCTCTCCTGAGGTGGCCACCTTGCCCCGGGCCACAGCTGCCCCAAGACACCCATGGGTGCTGAGCTGGGGGTGGCACTGCTCCCTGCTCTCTATCCCAGTGCTGCTTCCTCTTTGACACACATCAGAGGGAAGTGTATGTGTGACTTGGGCACAGGAGATTGGGCCTAGCTTAGGGGCAGAGAAAATGCTCAGCATGCGGAAGCCCCACGCTCGCTGGCCAGCACCTGAGAAGTAATGCACAAGCAAGGCAAAGGACAGAGATGAGCCACCATAACTAATAACAGAGTAGAATAGCTATGACAGTCTACTACAATAATGTTATCTAAAACTTACACAATATGCCGGGGAGATAGCTCAGTAGAGTAAGTGCTTGCTTGGCAAGTGCGGGGTCCTAAGTTCAATCCCCAGTACCACCAAAAAAAAAAAAAAAAAAAAAAAAACTTACGCAAGAGCCATGGCACTTGTCCATGGTCCCAGCTACTTGGAAGGCTGAGGCAGAAAGATCACTTGAGTGCAAAAGTTTGAAACCAACCTAAGCAATGTAATGAAATCTTCCTCAAGGGGGAAAGGGGTGTTTTTTTTGTTTTTGTTTTTTGTTTGTTTACTTAGTTTACTAATTATGTCTGGGATTTTCCATTTAATATTTTTTTACTTTGAGTAACTAAAATCACAGATAAGGGGCTGGTGAGATGGCTCAGTGGTCTAAAGCACCTACTTAGAACAAGCTTAGCAAAACACAGGGACCGTGGTTCAATCCCCAGCACCACATGCCAGCCAGCCCGCCCCCTGGTGGGCTGAGCTGGCCACACACACACACACACACACACACACACAAATAAAGTTTAAAATAAATAAATAAATAAAAATTAAAAAAAAAAAAAAGAATATAAATGGGCTTGGCTGGGGCGATAGCTCAGTGGTCCAAGCATCTGCCTGGCAAGTACAAGGACCCGGGTTTGGTCCCCAGTACCGCATGGCATTCCAGTCCAGGAATACTGGGCACCAGATGCTGGCCCCTGAGTCCAGGCATGGTGCCGCACACCTGTAATCCCAGCACTGGGGAGGCTGAGACAGGAGGATCACTACTACTACTAGTCGGAGCTGCATAGCAACTCCCTATACCAAATAAATAAAATTGGAAAAAAAAATATATATATATATGGGATGAGAATGTAGCTCAGTTCAGAGATCTGAGGTTCAACCCTACCAACAGTTCAAAGGGACAGACTGGGGCTGGGGGTCTAGAAATGATGTGTCTGAGATGATATACCAACTATCCCAACTTGATGATTATACTTGGGTTTTTTTGTGGAACCGGGGATTGAACTCAGATCCTTGAGTTTGCCAGTCAAGCGCTTATCCTACTGAGCCATCTCCCCGGCCCGATCATTATACATTTAATAGAAAGAGAAACATCAAACTCTACCCCATAAATATGTAAATTATTATATGCCAACTAACTTATAAATAGATACTTTTGGGTTTTGGCTTTTTGAGACAGGGTCTCACTGTGTAATTGAGCCTGGCTTTGAACTCTGTATGTATGGCTTTGAACTTGCTATGTAACACAGGTTGGCCTCAATCTAGAATGATCCTCCTGTCTCAGCCTCCAAGTGCCGAGATTACAACCATGTGCCACCATGCCCATCTACACATATAGAATGACTGAGCTGAGGAGACAGCTCAGCAGCATAAGTGCCAGACTGGCATGTGCAAGGTCCTGAGTTTGATCCCTGGCACTGCCAAAATTATATATGATACATGTATATCCTATATTTTATCATAAATTATAAATTTTTCATGTAATTTTTTATAATAATTTTTTTTAA